GGACCCCCCGCTTTGGTCCCCGGAGACCAGGCTCCCAAAAAAGAGCCCCCCCCCCCCTCCAAAAATTGCCCCCCCCCCCCGGCCCCGGGGGGGCCCCCCGTGGGGGGGGGGATTCTTCGGGGGGGGTGGGGGGGAATCCGGGGGGCTCCCAAAGGGGCCAAATTTTTATTGGGGGGAAAATTTTTATTCCGGTTTAAGGGAATGGACCTGGGGCCCTGGGCCCCGGGAAGGGGTGTTTTCCCAGGGGTGGGGGCCCCCTGGATGTTTTCGCCCCCCCGGGGGGGGGGGCCCTTGGGTGGGGGGGGGGGGGGAAAACCAGGGTTTTGTACGGGGGGGGGGCCCAATTGGAAGGAATGGCCCCTCCCCCGGGAATTTAGAAAACCGGGGGGGGTCGGTTTTTGGGGTTTCCCCCGGGGGGGAAAGGGGGGGAAAAGTTCTTTTGTCCCCCCCCCGGCGGGAGGGGGGGGATTTTGGGGGGCCCCCCCCCCCCCCCCCCCAAAGTTCGTTCGTCGCATTTTAGTGGGTTTTCCCTTTCAACCTTCCCGCCGCGCTTGTGTTGAATGAAACGATGGCACCCCCCCCCCCCCCCCCAGTAAACTAAAAGTACGTATTTTGGGGATTGGGTGGATTCCTAGAGGGACGGCCCGGCTGGCACACACACGAGACCGAGTCATGCTTTCACTACACGTCGGTGCAACCCCCGCGTTTGGACTGTGGCTGGGCGGCTTCGGGCCGCCCAACACCACGATGACCAACAAGTCGGGTTTGGAGATCACGTTTGACATCTTCGACTTCTTCACGGATCCAAACCCCGGTGTTTCACGGGCCGCCGAATCACCTCATCTCACGCCTCCGCACCACCTCACGCACCACCACCACGCACTCAGGGCACTGGTTCGGGATCCGCGCATGTGGCAACTACTGCGGAGCGCGGTGGTGCGGCGGCGAGCAAGTGCGAGAGAGGTACGACTTCGACGACGTCTTCATGTGTGACTTCTCGGCGCCAACCCTGTTCTGTGAGGACGAATGCTGCAAGGCGCACGACTCCTGCTGTGGATCCAATGATCGCCGAGACTGCAACTACGAGATGCTCCAGTGCACGGCAGCCTGCGCCGGAGGTGTCGTCGTTCAGAACGCGCTTGGCCGATACGAATTTGAGAACGCAACTGCTGGAAAGTCGACGTGCGCCCGCTAGCTCTTTTGTTTCTCCTTGGCCCGCACCTTGCAAACACAAGGGGCTGCTCGTAGGTGTGCTGCCGCCACAGTTGGCATCTTCGCAGCAGCAAGTCAGGGGTTGTGCTGTGGCTCGCCTTGCTCCGAGTTCGACGGCAACAGCCAAGTGGCTAGCTTACACACCCAGGAGAAAGACGAACTTTGGAGCTGGATGCACAACGTGCTCACCATCCACATCTCTCTCGCCGGGCTCCCGACCTTCGGGTTCCTCGGCAAATGGGGCGGCGACTATCTTATGACCGAGCCGGCCGCGGCCACGACGGCGCGGCAACGGGTGGCTCAACGGGTGGCCGTGCCTGTCGTCGCCGTTGCGGCGGTCCTCTCGACCTTGGTAGCCATCATCACACGTCTCCGTCGCCGACGAGCAAAGGCGCCGGCTCAGCTGTAGAGAACACGATTCCATCGGACACAAGACGAGAGAGACGCCACTTCACGGGACACGGTGGGTGCTGGGTGTATGTCGCGGTCTCTCGTGTACTGGAATCGCGTGTCTCTTAGTATCTCCTTCTACCTGCACGCGCCCTCCCGCGACGCGCAAGCTGTCCGCGCTCCGGCCGTGTCGACTGTCGAGACCTCCTCACGTGCGTGTGCGGGGCTGGGGGGTGCCGCCTGCCGCGCGCACACCACAGGCACAGCACACACCGCACTCCGCAGCCCCTGCCGCGAACCCTTCATTTCTTTTTGCAAGACCCGGCACCGGTCTTTAGAGAAAGAGAGAACGTACCACATCGCACACAACCGCGCCCCCATTTGTGTGCGGGCGGCTTCACCCGGGCGATGTGCGGCCGCCGGCACGGCGAGCCTTGGCGCGAGTGGTGCGACCAGCGGCAGGCGCGTCTGCCGCAGCGGGCGCGCGCTTCTTTCCCGCTGCCTTCGCTGCGCGCGATCGGCGCGGCGAGGGCTCGGCCCGAGCACCTCCAGTGGCAGTCCTCCCCCCCTTGACCAGTTCGTCCACCTCTTCGGCCGCACCGGCTGCCTCCGCCGCCCCCTCCCCGGGCCCGCCGCTCTCGCCGTCCCGCACCTCCGCCTCGCCCTCGGCCTGAGGTCGCTCGCCCCCCTCCGCCTCCCCCTCCGCCTCCTCCTCCCCACCCTCGCTCTCCCCGCCCCCCCCGCCCCCCTCGCCCTCCGCCGCCTCGTCCGCCGCCTCTCCAAGCGCCGTGGCAAGCAGCGTGAGCGCGTCGACCACGCCGCCCCCCAACGGCGCGGCGGCTGGATCCGCCACACGAACCGTCTCGGCGGCGCGAGGCGGCATCGCGGTGGCGGATGATCCGACGGCGGTCGCAGCGCTCGCGGCGTCCGGCCGGAGCAGCCGCATGGAGGAGAGGGTGTAGCCGAGGAAGTGGGTCCCGACGAGCAGCCGGTCGAGCCGCTCATAGTGCCGCACCTACTCGCGATACGAGCCCGCGCGGGCTGACGGTGGGACGCCCGACGCGGCGTACCTACCCCCCCCCCCCCCCCCCTCTCTCTCGCGCGCGCCGCGTACGGCAGCAGCGCCTCCACCAGCGAGCGAGCGCGCGGCACCGCCGCCAGCTTGCGGGCCGGAACCGCTCGGAGGACCGCGTGAAGCAGCCGGTGGCCGGTCAGGGCCTGCGCTGCACGCGTCGACCTACGGGGAGTGGCGAGAGGGCGTGCAACCGCGGGGCGGCGGCTCTCGTCGGCCGCTCGCGGCGCGGCTGCCAGTCGCGCGAGCACTCGAGGCAGAAGGCCAGATCGTCGTCCGCGGCGGCTCGCACGCAATCGCGCAGGGAAGCATCGGCGGCATCGGTGCTCGGGAGACCTTGCAGCACCGTCAGGAGGGCGCGGGGTCGGCGCAGTGCGAGCGCCGCACGGAACGCCGACGCCACGGCGCCCGAGGCGAGCGCGTTCGCCAGCGCCTGCTCCTCCTGCAGAGACTGCTCCGCCTCGGCAGAGGCCTGCGGGCAGGGGGGCGAAGGAGGTTGGGGGGGCGAGGCCGGTGGGGGCGAGGGGGCGTGGTTGCGAGCGAGGCGGCGGCGAGGGAGGTTGTGGCGAGGGAGGGGTGGTGGGGAGGGGGAGGAGAGGAGGGGGCTGGTGGAGGGAGCGCGAGAGAGGCGGACTGGGAGGCGCCTGCGCCCCAGACGCGCTCGACGTGTCGCGCCAGCGCACAATGACCGAGTCGGCAGAGCCCGAGACGAGCTCACCAAGGCCTCTGGGGTCGCCGCCGCCCCCCTCGCCGCCGCCCTCGCCGCCGCCCTCGCCGCCCCCCTCGCCGCCGCCCTCGCCGCCGCCCTCGCCGCCGCCGGTAGCGCCCCTCGAGGGCGGCTCGTAAGCGTCGATGGCCCAGACCTGAGGGAAGGGAAGGGAAGGGACACTTCTGACATACTCAAGGTGGGGCCGGCAAGGGGAGCAACCCCCGACTACACGTCCCCCGACTACACGTCCAGAGACAGCAGCCCGATGGCAATTGAAGTGCAAAGCCCAGTGCACGTGGGTGAGCGGTGTGCGTGCGTGCGCGTGCGCGTGCGCGTGCGCGTGCGCGTGCGCGTGCGCGTGCGCGTGCGCGTGCGCGTGCGCGTGCGCGTGCGCGTGCGCGTGCGCGTGCGCGTGCGCGTGCTGTGTGTGCGTGTGCGTGTGCGTGTATGTGTATGTGTGTGTGTGTGCGTGTGTGTGTGCATGTGTGTGTGTGTGCGTGTGCGTGTGCGTGTGGTGTGTGGTGTGGTGTGGTGTGTGGTGTGTGTGAGTGAGTGCACCTTGTCCTCGTGCGCGTCGAGCGTGGCGACGCACTCTTGGCCTTTGATGGACCAGACCTTGACCAGCCCGTCCGAGCCTGAGGAGGCGAGCAGCGCGCCGCCTCGCAGGAAGCGCACCTTCAGCACGCTCGAGACGTGCCCCTCGAAGGTGCGGAGGCAGGCCTAGGGCGAGAGTCCAATCTCGGGTGACCTCGGGTGACCTCGGGTGATCTCGGGTGACCTCGGGTGATCTCGGGTGAACTCGGGTGATCTCGGGTGATCTCGGGTGAACTCGGGTGACCTCGGGTGACCTCGGGTGACCTCGGGCGCTCTCGGGCGATCTCGGTGTCTCACCCAGTCCGCCATGGACCACACCTTGACGAGCATGTCCGCGGAGCCCGAGGCGGCGACGCGGTCCAGTGGCGCGAAGGCCTGAGAGTTCATAAATGACTTCGTCGTAAAGAGGAGGGCGACCACGCCCCACCCCTGCACGAGGGCGTCCTCACCGCGGTCCAGACGGCGCGCCGGTGGCCGGTCAGGGTGGCTGCGGGCTCGGGTCGGATGGCGGCCGATCCGTCCGCCGCGAGGGTCCAGACCTGCGGCGAGGGCGAGGCGGGCGAGGCGGTGGGGGAGACAGGGCCGAT